ATATATTGTACATGAATTGTTGATAGCTAGTAAGTGTCAAATTGAACTTGTGCTTTAAAATTAGCTTCTGCTAGTTTTTCTATGGCATAAGCATTTTTGAAGTTGTGGACCTAAATATTTTCATAAGCGCTTTAGAAATTGCGGAGCTAATTTTTGGGTTAGTGCTGCCCACCACTGTTAAAATAATTTTTTTTAAAAAAGCTGCTTTGGAAGCTGGGATGTGTTTGTTGTWGCATTTCAAAACCAGAAATCTAACATCCACTCACAACTTGCAAGGTTCGCACAGGTGGTCAAGTYATGTTAAAAATAATAGTAATAGTTTTGTTTGACTGACTCTTACCTTCCTTACAGGTGTCGCCCTGATAACCAGGTTTACAGATGCAGGTCCCGTGGCGACGGTGACATTCTTTAGTGTTTTTCTGGTCACACTGGCACTCCTGAGAGCACCCGGCTCCAAAAGTCCACTTAGGACAGGCTACAAATGTTAAAAGTGGGGGAATGAGATGTTGACATTTTTRATCATGGGACACAACAAGTGTTGTTTAGTCTGCCCTCTACAAACTGCAGCTCCTGACATAAGAGTTTTAAGTTAAAAAGATTAAAAAGMTGATAAGCAGTTGGACTCACGGAGGTGACAGAAGCGGCCATAAAGTCCAGGATCACACAGGCAGGCTCCGTACGTCCGGTGGCAGYGGCCATTATTGGCACAATTACACTTTTTGTTGCATTGCTTCCCATAGAAGCCTTTAGGACAGCCTGAGGATCAAATACACCTTTCAGATTATGTTCAAGTTCCCTGTACCAGAAAGTACAAGACTACACAAAGTCTTGTCTGGAGTAAATGAAGTATCTCACCGTCTTGACACAAATCTCCACTCACACCAGGAGGGCAGCGGCAGCTTCCACTAACCGGATCACAGCTGGCACCATTTTTACACTTACAGGCGAAGGAGCAGTTTTTACCAAAATACCCATCGAGGCATGCTGCAAGAAAAAAAAAAAAAAACGAATTACTCAGCAAATAAGCTTTTGTCTTTTTTTAAGTGTGTGTCTGATCAAAACTCACTCTGGTTGCAGATGATTCCCGTCCATCCTTCAGGGCAATCACAGCCGCTTCTCCTGACGTTGCACAATCCGCCATTAGTGCAATCATCACAGGTCAGACTGCAGTCGCTGCCAAAAGTGTCATTTAAACACACTGAAAACAACAGAATAACCAACATGACACTTTAAATCTCTTTAAATTTAAATTGATAGCATCTTTACAAATATAACAAAGGGAGAAGTAATGGGGTGGTATTTTGACAACTGATGTAAGTGATCACTTACCAGTTTTCATGATTTATAAAAATGATCAATGTAATATGAAAGTAGACACAATCAAGAAAAAAATAAACATAAAAAAAAAAAGCATTGGATAAATTGAAAGATGATTTGGGAAAAYAAAACTGGAAGGATGTGTATGGTGAAGATGTAAACAGAGCATATGATCGTTTTACAAATATTTTGGGAGCACTGTATGAAAAAAATTGTGTGCAGAACAGTCGTATGGAGAAAAATATTGCTGACAAACCACGGATGACTGAAGGGTTGAGGAATGCTTGTAAAAAAAAGAATAAATTGTACTCATGTTTCTTGAAATTAAGAACAAAAGAATCAGAAGAGAAATACAAGAAATATAAAAACAAATTGGTACAGATTATAACAAAGCAGAAGAAGGAATATTACAGTGATCTGTTAGATAAAAGTAAAAGTGATATGAAAGTAACATGGAGAGTAATGAATGGGGTTATGAAAAATACAACAAAATATATTAACTTATTAGGTTTTATTTCAAAACTGCACACAATTTTAAATTACTATCCTATTTAGTAAGACAAAAATTCTCTGTTTGCCTCATTGTTTATTTAAATAAGCACGGTAAGTTAGATATTTAAACAAGAAATAGCAGARCCTCCCTGCTTTAACCAGCCGCTCATAAACCTCCAATCGTTCCTGCTGGTGAAACTGTGGTGCTTTATTGGTTTGTAGCAACAGTCTGAGAGCATGAAGCAAAGCAATTAACCCCGCAGTGTGGTCGGCTGCTGCCCAGGCTAAACGAGTCTGTCTGAAACTTTAACAGGAGCCGGGTAATCGGATTCAGGTTTCCTCCTAAATGGTAATGAGTCAGTACGAACAGCGGGAGGGGAAACTCACCAAACTTCTCTGCCAGCCTGCTTTCAGCCCTCAGCTCCCCTTGGTCGTCTTCGTAGTCATCGTAACGCTCCAGAGGCTGGACGTTATCCTGCAGCAAGGTGAGCTGGGGGCGAATAAGAGGCAGCTTGATGGTTCCTCCACTGGAGGAGGTCTCGACAGCACTTTCAAGAGCTGCATTTTTAAGCAGATTGCACAAAATTATGTGTGTAAATTATGCTTTGCATAGTTGCTTAATTCAGTAAAAAGCACTTGAGTTTTCAGTTTCACATTATTCTGAGCTACACTTTGTGTTATGCTAAGGTTTCCTTTTCCAGCTCAACGTATTGTCAGGTTTCTTGAATAAATCCCTCTTGTTTGATCATTTTAACATGATTTTTGATACGTACGGATGCAGGAGCGTCGGTCTTCGTCCAGTCGGAAACCCTGATGACAGAAACACTGGAAGGAGCCGGCAGTATTCTGACAGGTGTGTTCACAGCCGCCGTTAGAAGCCAGACATTCATCTGCATCTAAACAACACAGGCACAACAGAGTCAGAAGCTGCTGCAGCACTGGGAATAACAAACGTCTAAATGGAACGAGAACGTAAAATGTGCGGCTCCTCGTACCGTCACAGCTGCATCCATCTGAGCTGAGTCTGTATCCTGCTGAGCAGTAGCATTCATAACCTCCGGGGTAGTTGGTGCAGTCCTGCTCACAACAGGAGCTCTGTTCTCCACACTCGTCAACATCTGCCAAACACAACAAGCAGGAAAACAAAAACTGTGACCTAATGTAGGGATTGGCTCAACTAAAAAGAAAAAAAGTTTTCATGAGACAATAAAATGTGTGTTGATTTAACAACCAATTAGGGTTGAAGTTGCAGCAAAAAATAAAATGTTTTAGCTCTAAATGTTTACCTCTCCCCCTAAAGAGTTTGGTTCAGTACATACTCACTCCTCAGACTCATTATTTATCCAGCTCATGACCAGAGGAGAGTTTAGTTTCACCTTTACAAAACTTTATTTTTATTTTATTATTATTAAAAAAAACTATGCTTATGTACTATAGAAACAGTTTGACATTCTTGTTTTATTTTTATCAGATTTTGGGMTGATGTTCAGATGGGCAAAAAAATGGTGTAGGTGGATAAAATTGCACTGGATTTTGTAGAAACAAGTCTTATTWACATCATAATTTGATATTTCATTTTCTAATCGATACATGTGGTGGCAGATTCCCTGAAACTACACTTATGAGTTTTACACTTCCTTATTTGTTTGCACAAAATGTATTAATTGCTGTCCAAAAGTTCCCAATATAACAAGCTTGGCCTATAAGCTTGATCAGTTCGATTATTATCACAAAAAACAATATAACTGCTGCTAATAGAAATCAATCAGGCAATGCTACCACTTACTGATGGAGCTTTGATAAATAAAGGAAATGACTTAAACTRAAAATGTCAGAAGGTAAAACATAAAAACTTTATCTCTTCTTCTGTTTTTGAGATTTATTTCAATATTCTTGGCTGAAGCAGTATGGGTTTTTGCCCAACATATTGTTTGCTCTAAAAACCTAAATGCCACCAAACCAGCAGGYGAGTGTGAGTGTATCACAGCCTCTCACCAACACAGGTTTTGAGGTCGTCGTCTAGCTGGTAGCCAGGGTTACAGCTGCAAACGGGCCCGCCGGTCGAATGATGGCAGTCATGCGAGCATCCGCCATTGTTGGTCTCACAGCTGTTCACGATCTCCATCTCAATTCCTTAAGTTCACAGACGGATCAGAAAGCACGTGTCATAAAATACGTTGTCTCTGCTAACTACGAGGTTTTACACGTGCAACGATGTCCAGTTAGAGCTTTAAACTGACTGTAACACTGTTTTCCATCAGATCCCAGCTCATAGGCAGCGTTGCAGACACAAGCGTAGGAGCCCAGAGTGTTGTGGCAGCTGTGAGCACAGTTGGCCTCGTTCGCCTCGCACTCGTCGATATCTGAAGAAAAACAATGTATTAAGTTTAATGCATGTGGTCTAAAAAGGTTCAAAGACGTCTGAAATTTGGTTGTCACAAATCAGGTGTGCCTAAAAGCTGTTTGTGAAGCTGAGCAGTGTTGGCTGATCTACACACACTGACTGCCACTGAATTTTATTTAAAAGTTGACTTCTTTTTCAGGTCAAACTTATTTTTCTTTTACAAAACAGATAATTGTAAATCTGGATTGTTGGATTTATTTTTCAAACGGGCTCCATCAGCAGCTGTGTCGAAGCTTTTAACTGGTGAAATCTCTGCGTTACATCACTGAACTTTTGCTTCAAGTTACTGTATTTCTGCACCTCTGATGAAACTCTGTTTAGTGGAGAATGTACCTTCACAGGTTTTCCCATCTTCAGCCAGCTTAAAGCCAACCTTACAGCCACACTGAGCTTTCCCCCCGACGACCCGGCACTGATGCATGCAGCCTCCATTCTGGTCCGCGCACAAGTTCTGCACTGCAACACAAAAAGGCTGGCACACTCATCCACACCGATGCACATTATTCAGTGGGATCGCTCCAGGCGAAGCAGAAATCTGCAAAACCGCGTTTTACATCTTAATGTACATCATGTGGAGAGCTTTAAATCTCCCCATGTTTCACCTCTGCTTCATCTTTACCTCTCTCTCTCTCTCTCTCTCTCTCTCTCTCTCTCTCTCTCTCTCTCTCTCTCGCTCTCTCTCTCTCTCTCTCTGTGCACAGT